TTTATTTTATAAAGCATGGTTAACATAATATTTCTACACCAGCAATGGTAGTGTATGTGAAACAATATTTAATGTAAAACCTCAATGTACCATATACTTGGAAATAAATGACATTCATTCATTCATTCATTCATTCATTCATTCATTCATTCATTCATTCATTCATTCATTCATTCATTCATTCATTCATTCATTCAACATGAACTCTACGAGAAAAATTGCATCGTATAACTAAATTACGTAGCTTTCACAAATAAATCGAATCTCGCTTCTATGTAACTATCAATCCTATACCAACCACATGAGTACTAATAGAAAAAAAAAAACAAAATTACATGGCAGTGCGAACGTTAATACAAATGACTTTTATCTAACTAACAAATGGATACCATAAAATTGTTCACGAAGATCTATGTCTATACATATTTGCAAAGTATAAGAGTATGAATTACCATGGGTCTTATCCAGGCCCCATATCGAAAGGGGGTCTTTCGCAATACATAATTTATGGCCATTTTCATTAACCACCCTTCTCTTGAAATAATCTCTTGACTAAGACTTACTTAGCATGAGGGAACACCTAAGCCAAACCTTTACCTTTGACGTCACTTGTAGGTTGGTGAAAATTTCTTAAGTGTCACCTATCTTAGCTTAAGCAGAGGTTTCCTAAAATTTAAGTAAATAAATAAATAAAATAAAATAAAAATAAAAAAGCCTGTATTTCTCTTAAGACAATATACAAAATTTGTTCCATATTAACTAATTTGCTTGTTTCAATAAGAAGTGTTAGGTAAATTGTTGTATTTAGTCAGCGAGAACCCTTTTGCAGGTAAAGGCCTCCTCCAAGTTTTGCCAATCGTCTCTTGACTTCGCCGTTTGTATCCAGTGTGATCCAGCTATTTGTTTAATTTCGTCCTCCCATCTTGTGTGAGGTCTACCTCTTTTTCGTTTTCCTGCCGGGCCTTTCCACGTTGTGATGCTTTTAGTCCATCTTTGATTGCTTTGTCCATCAAAGATGGACTAAAATTTAAGTAATTGTAGAAAATTAGTGAAAGTCATCTCAATCCTAACAATATTTGATCGAGGGCCCCTTAATTTATTTTCTAACGGGCCCCGTTTCTTTAATCAATGTCTGGACATGTGGAGTTAAAGAAATAAATGTCTGTAATTTTCATGAAATCTATGTTCATATGTACGGTTGATAGCACCATATATCGTTATTTTTTAACTCGCGATTAACGCGCAGTAATGAAACTACATAATTCCGAATTCAAATATTGATGTGCGTCTTGACAGTCTTTCATTATTTTATTTTTTTATCAGTTATTATTGGCTAACCTTTGTTTTTTTTTCAATGAATAGGTTCACTTTAACTATAAATCGAGAGTTACTCACGTGAATAGTTAGTCACGGCGGTCGCGACGATGTCGCGCAGCCTATTGGCCATCGCCGCGACTGCGCACGCTACTCATGAGGAAGAACCCTGTGGTTCGAAACTCACTAGTTTGATTGTTGGTGGTTGGGCAACTGACTAGAGCGCAACGTGTCGCGGGTTTGATTCCCGCACGGAACAACTCTTTGTGTGATCCACAGATTGTTGTTCCGTTGTTGATCTGGGTGTCATGTGTATGTGAACTTGTATGTTTGTAAACGCACACAAGACACAGGAGAAAATCAAAGGGTTGGGCGTGGTTTTTATTAAAAAAAAATTTTGCCAAAAAATGACTCTCCCACGTATGCACCTTGAATTTTGCGAGAAGTCAACAAACTTGGAAATTGAGAAACTGAATATGACACACATATTTGATGTATACGAATGAAATATGTATCTGTGTGGGTTTTTAGTCGTTTCATGACAATCACATTTCGGAGGCGGCTGTGTAAGCTCCTATTTGACAGAACCAAAGAATAGTTAATATTTCAATCTTTGTGGTAAACTCCTACTTATCGATTTAGTAACCGTTGTTAGGTTAATACTTAACATAACACCATGCCTTTTTAGCCCCGAAGGGAATCCCCGGGGACATTGTACAGTGGCATAATGTGGACATTATGCCACTGTACAATGTAACACCCACTTTTCATTATTTATTATGTTATGAGTCCCATGTCCCATGTCCCATGTCCCGTAATACGCACCTCTGCCTATCCCTTCGGGGACCATAGGCGTGGTGTTATGTTTTGTTAAAAACTTCTCATCTCATCTCATCTCATCTGCATATGTCCGTCTATACGCGGCTCTGATTGCTTACCATCAGGTGACCGGTTTGCTTCTCTGTACTAATATTATAAAGCTGAAGAGTTTGTTTTTTTGTTTGTTTGTTTGAACGCGCTGATCTCTGAAACTGCTGATCCGATTTGAAAAATTATTTCTGTGTTGGATAGCGCATTTATCGAGGAAGGCTATAGGCTATAAAATATCACGCTACGATAATAGGCGCCAAGCAGAGCGAGTGAAACCGCATGGAAGTAACTAGTCCCTTAATAATATTATTATTACGTAAAGTACATATTTTAAAGCAGCCTTACTCCAAACACTAGCTACAAACGCAATTTTGTCAAACAGCCTGTCTGCACGTATTTTATCGGCGTGTGAAGATCATTTCATACAATGTTTGTCCTGTAATAGGCACCTGCCTAGTTAGGCGAGTGGGAAACTGTTGTATGGAGATTAGGGCGAAAATTGTTGCTTTACCCACTAACAAACGGATATTTTGCAATAATTAAAAGTATGTATATTCTTTTGCTGCAGAGTTTATGGTTAGGGAAATAAAGTACTGGCTTAACTATTTTTTAACTTGACCTCTTTTTTTATTTGGGTCAAATTTCGTAATTGGAATTTTCCACTTTCTTGACCACAAACCAATTTGAATTTGGAACACACTCTTATTCTTGATGACCATACATAATGATATTGCTTATGATGTTAGGAAGTATTAAAGTCCTGGAAAATTGATAACATTTTACCAAGAACCAAGGTTTGTAGAGAAGTTTTTTAATTTCAAGAATAATTGTGTTATTAACTCGTCGAGTACCGGTTTTGTAGACACAATTATAGAACAATAGGTTGCGGTCACCGGTGACCGCTTGGTGTTTGACAGTTTAATACATTTTTTATAACGTTCAAAAGGTGCCTATCTTTTTGGGGACAAAGACTAGGGAGTGTGGGATTCGTATCTGACTAAAACCACCCTGGTGGCCACCCTCAGCACTTGTAGGGGGCACCTGGTCCTCTGACGAGTTCTGCGTTGGAGCCACCATGGAGCAACACCTGTTACAGCACAGCACATCCCTAGGGAGACGTGCGTGTCCCTTGATCATCACTTTATGATATTAATACCTAAGTAAAACCATGTTAAAAATATTACCTAAGGAAAAACCACGAAAACAAAAAGCGCGGGAAGATATGTTTGATCCGTTTTTCTTTTTCTTTTTTTTATTTAGAATAGGTATTTTTTTTAAATGCCAGTGACCGAAGAGTTTTATTGTTGTGTCAAATATTTTATTTTTATTAGCGTAAGGTGTGAAGTTGTGATATGAATATTTTTTTATTTAATTTAAATATCATTAATATTTTCGTTGAAATTAGTGGAACTTTTTTTAGTAGTAGTTGTGTGATTTGATTTATTATCTGTATACATGTCACTGGTAAGATAAAGGCTTTTTTTGAATAAATAAATAAATTCTGCCTGTCTAGCGATTAATGACAATCACTATAGCTAATGAAAAGTCTAAATCAGATCGCGACATAAGATTCGTTATCAGATTTGGATTTTCATTTGTACATTCTAGTTTTACCTATAATAGTGTTCTTTAGCGGGTTATCTATACATTTAATAAAATCGTAGGAAAGTGAGAATTGTACATCAAATATTTTTTTAATGAATGCTTTGTGCGTGATCTGCAATCGATACCGAAGCCAAAAATATGGTTTTCAGAATTTTTGTCTTTTTGTCTGTATGTATGTCCGGGATGAACTCAAAAAGTGCTGCATGGATTTACTTCAAATTTTGCATGAATTACTAACAGGTCGGGTCATAGGCTACATATTATCACGCTATCACCTGCGGGGGAGGAGCTGTTAATCACTATTTCACACGAACGAAGTCGCGGGCAACAGCTAGTAGAACATACATGTTGTGGCAAAAATATGAGTCAGTCCGAGGAAGAAACCATTACCTAGTGAAACAACAAGTGAAACAAGTAATATATGTATACATCGGCATAAGCCAGTAGGAAGACCTATCTCTCCAAATACAATAATTGAGCTGTTTATAAACAATTATTCCACCTGCTCAAATATCACAACAATAGTTTTACATCATATCATTAATCATCACTGCTTTCAAATCACTAAACAAGTCAAACAGACAGACAAATCAATTTCATCTAACATAATTATACGAGAAGACATAAATATATGTAAATTTATGTACAAATAACATCGTAAAAAGATTGCATTGATAGTAAACGATGGTATAATCTCTAAATATTTTGATGTGGTCACTTATCTTTTCTCAGGCGTATTTACATAGATATGGTATAACTGGTTATGTGATGTAAGTATTGGAATATATTCACACATGGACATTACATTCATATACATATATTTAGCTATGCGAATGTTTGTTCGGTTTATTTGGTACTTTTGAGATGGTGGGTCGGATGGTCGACCTGGGTATGATGGTCTGGTTACCTAAAAACTTGTAGAGATTTTATCCTTTTTGGTAGTAACATTCGGGATTATAGAATAAATGAGGGCTTTTATAATTTTGTTCTTTACTAGGCAATAATAGATAGGTATAGATATTTTCGATGCAAGGGTTGCAGAAGTATGTCATATGTCACATAATTAACATAGGTGTGAATGATGTGTTGGCGTACGATGGCGACAGTTTCGCAACACTATAACCAAAGTAAACACTTCATTTAAGTGTTGACGAGAATGACCCTTAAAATGTGTTTTGTTTTTATATTAACAAACTGTATATTTGTTGCAGGTGGCGGGAGCGTCATCAATGGCCTGACAACATGTTCAGAACGGCGTCAGTCGAGGGCTCCGGGCCGAGGACGCCGCCGGCCTACGCCCCCCACCCCCCTTACGTCCCGCCCCGCTTTTTTCCCCCTCGGATACGACCACCACCCCCCCAATACTGCTTCGATGCAGCTCGCTTCGCCTGCGATGCTTCCAAACCCCGATACTTAGACGTAGAAAGAGAAAGACTAGTCACAAGATGGCTGGCCGAAGCAAATGAAGCGCTGGTGAGACGAGACCGACCTCCGAGGTATAAGCCTCGGAGTAGTGAGCGAAGACCGGACTTCTTAGAGCGAAGACCTAACGCTCCGGAATGGGCGGACAATTTTTTGTTGGGTCGCCGTAACGGTTCGGTCGAGCCCGAAGACGATTGTAGTGAAGTGATGACCTTGAAAGAATTCGTGGATAAGTTCTCGTTGCCTCGTGTGGTGAAGTTCGAAGGAGAGGATAGGCCAGTGCTATTGTATAGGGTGTTGGAGGCGCACAGGAGGGTCGAAGCTGTCCCTTTGTCTGGGAAAAAGGGCAAACTCGTTGGAAAGCCGCTCTACATTCCGGATTCTTATGATGGTGAGTTCTTTTTGTTTTCTATATAGTTATATAAGTAGTAGGAAAGAAACAATAATAAATTATTGTTTCTTTCCTACTACTGCTAATTTTATGTTAGATTCTCGTAGTATTTCTAGTCTACGTCTTTTGATTTCCTATGCGATTGTCCAAAACATTAACATTGGGCAAAACTCACTACTGAGTGGAGTCCACTCAACGTCAATAGACGTCGTAGTAGGATCAGAAGGAGATGGCGGGAAGAAGAGACGAGTGGAAGGAGGGTAGGGAGGCCTTTGCACTGCAAAGGGACGACTATAGCTACAAATGAAAATGAATGAAAATGAATGTGATTGTCCAGTTATCTAGACACATTGACTGCCAATAAAAAACTGTTGAAGGTAAATCCTCCGCTAACGTCGGTCACCGGTGACCCCCATGGCGTTTAACGTGTTAAAGTATAATTTTTGGATACCAGTAATAAAAATGTTATATTAAATATTTTAATGTTGATTAATGTACCCATATTATGTTAATCCATATACATATAAAAACTTCTGACAGCCATAATCTCGACTGCCACTTAATATTAAATGGATCATAACACTTTTGACCTCTAATATTAATAACATATGTTTTTATTAATTAAACGAACACAGTTTAATTGCTATACTTGTTCTTGTTACGATTTCCGTGTAATTTGAGAGTTAATTTTAATTGAATTTTAGGTATTCGTGTTTATATGTACTTAAATGTTTTGTTTTGATACGTAAACACTTTTGTTAATCTTTTTCGCTTTATTATTTTCTCAAATGGCGCCACTGCTGCTTTTGATCTACCTACTAAGTAAAATTGTGATGTCAAAAATTATTACGACTTCGACTGCACGGTTCGTGCGGTGGCTGGGCAACCAGCCTGTCTTCGGAGCAACTCTTTGTATGATCCACAAATTGTGATTTCTGGTCTGGGTGTCATGTGTATGTGAACTTGTATGTTTGTAAATGCACCTACGACACAGGAGAAAATCCTACTGTGGAGCAAAATTTAAAAAAAAAGACAAAAACAAAAAGTCAAACATAACTTAAAAACACCCTAAAATGTGGTTTCAAATCACTTTTATCTTAAATAGGTCATCATCATTTCGATAATTAAGATTAAATCACGTTAATGTTATAACAAATCAACTAGCAATATGTTATAATATTTTTTCGAATCAATTAATGCTATCTATTCAATTACATACCTTATTAACAAAGAAAGACCGCACAATCAATAATAACTCACAGTATCCACGATCACCAATCAAAATAATTAATCATTAGGAATATCTATTAAAATACCCACACTAAAAAGACAATACTACATGAATCAACTTGCCCACTTATTTTTAATTTATTGTGGCCCATAGTTGCGCGGGCGCACTCAAAGATCCGTACATCTTAAGGCCACAACCTTGTCTAGATAGTGCCATATACGGTTTATGTTTAATAGAGCTGGTCTCCCACGCGCCCGGAAGGTTGGCCCAAGGCCTGATTCAATAGGCCTCAAGCTCAGTACAGAAGCAATTAAGGCCATTTGAGGATGGCTTGCATGCGATATTTCGTAATTATTCACCGTGCGCGTTTAAGGGTTAAGTAGCTTGTTCATGCCAGTCAAGCTCCCGATTGGTTGGGAATGAACATTGCTTAGTACTTGTGTGGGCTGGTTGGTTCGTTTTGTGGGACTTGATTGACTGATGTTTCTTTATTGGATGGTTTAAACTTTAATGCAAGTTTTATTCATCTTTAGAAAGATTTTGTTGAGTAAATTTTATTTTTGCCTCAAGTCTGTCTTGTGTTTGTTCACTTCACATAATTTAAATATTTTTGGGCGATTCTAGGATCATTGATTTATAGCCCTTTCTTGACCAAGATATTGGTTATATTAAAACTTTTGTGACACATAGATACTAAACTTTAGTAACTGTTTGACGCGATACTCGACTAGTTTCAAGCCGTGCTAGAGGCTCATATTCATGAGCAGCATTGCGCGATATACGACGCAGTAATTGTCACGCTGCCACTGGCTACTCGAGTCTGCCGCTGTGCGTGCCTAGCATGGCTTGAAACTAGTCGAGTACCTCGTCTAACAGTCTAACCAACAGCCGAACGCATAAATAATTAACAAAGATATCCCGACTTCATCATTCTCGATACTAGCAGAAAATGTTAAGACTATGCCTAGTGATTATAATATAACTATGCACTTGGAAATTTGTAGTTAAAAAGAATAACTTAACTGATATTTGTGGGTCAAATTGGTTGACTAGAAGAATTCTTCTGCTCATTACTTCTAGAAATCATATATTTTTTTATAATATCTATGGTAACAATCATACTAGCTAAATTCATTAAAAATCGCGGTTACTCGGTCAAAACTTATGAACACACGAGGTATATTAACTAAAAAATCGTGGGTTACTCACGTACCTAAATATACTGAGAAAAGCTCTACTAGTTTCGAACCACAGAGGGGTTCTTCCTCATGACCAGCGTTCGAAACTAATAGAGCTATTCTATTTTTAGTTAATATACCTCTAATAATATTGTATTAAAAATGCGATACTTACTGTTAGTAATTTAGCAGACGTGTTCAGCACATCAATCCCTCTGTAACAGACTGTAATTTAGACGAATCTACTTAATGACTGCACCGAGACTGAAATGAGAAAACAAAGACCAAGAATAAAACCTCATCTTCACATAATCGGTTAAATCAAATCCTAATTTACATAGTTAAGATAACTATCTAAATAACTTAACTATTATTCATTTTGTACGCTGTAGCTGGACTATGAATTTTAACTGCACATCCTGGGAACTGAACTTGCGACCCCTGTATCGGTATCCGACCGTTAGGTACATTGTACTATGGTAATATTGTTATTTATTTGTTTAGGTACTCACAGTTACATAATATCAAGCTATGCATTACCAGTATAAAGTGACCGTCGAATGTGCTGGAAGGTCATACAAAGAGAGGTCAATATAAAATGGTTTTCTATAGCTTCATGTGTATGTAAGTGATATTTTAGAGGTTTTGCTATCGAATTTATCGGAGTGTGATATTGTGTTGTTTTGCACTATCTTTGTATAGTAAATCTTCTTCTGTATCGGAATGTGAGACTGAGTTGTTTGTCTGTTTCTAACTCAAGAAGTGCTGAACCTATTTTAAGGATCATTCGTTGAGTTCCTAAAAACATTGTAACTACTTAGTACAAAAAATATTGTAAGTATATACTGCTAAATTTCTTAACCTCTGATCATGTTTAATTACTTAAATTCTAGACTGAAGAACCAAAATGAAATCAATTGCCCTTTTAGTTGTCAAAGCGTCCACAGATACAGCAATTAAAACAATTATAAACAACAGTCGAAAATATTCGGAGCATGTATGGTTCGACCGTCGATTGTTTTAGAAACAATTGTGTATCTGTGGCAGGAATGCAAATTCAAATGTTTGACAAAACAATGTGCTTTATTGCATGTTTGTAAATATCAAATTCGATTGATTGTTTTGTTGTTGCTTAATGGCCATTTGGTCATAAGGGTTGATTGATAAACATTGACACCAGTGGTGTAATTATTATTATAGGGGCTCAAACTTAGGGTAACAAGGTAAATAATCTTACAATCTTCCTGGAAAACAGTAACCACAGCCTATGAGGGCTCCATAGTCAAAGCCACGTTAAGACCCCAATAGTTTTTGAGGTTATGCTCCCAGTGCAGTATATGGCTACTCTCTTCAACAACAAGGATTCCTGGGCAGACAGAGATTATAGAGAGCCTTATCCAAAGCTACTGTTACAAACTCACAAAATGCATAATATGAAGTTAGCAGCCAAGTATCAGCATTGCTTGCGTGATAAATAGATGTTCAAATGTTTTATTTTGGCAACAGCAACACGGAGTCTGCCTTATGGAAAAGTTTTTGATCTGCTTGACTATACCAAGAGCGTATTCCTTTTAAAAGGCCGGCAACGCACTTGTGATCTGGTATTGCGGGTACCCATGAGCGACGCTAATCGCTTACCATCAGGTCATCTATCTGCTCGTTTGCCTCCTATTCCATAAAAAAACATATATTTTATTTATCAGCCATAAGAGGCCCATTGCTCAACATGGCCTGCAATAACTTCCAGATAAGCCTTGCTGGAAGCGACCTCTGCATCTAGTTTGGTCTGCTTGATCGAACTAAATGCGCTATAGCATAACGTCACATTAATTACTCAGTACCCAATCAGAAAGGTTCATCAATAAACGACATTGTATTGTCATCGACTTGTTTGTGATGAGAATGGATATAAAGCGGGTTCTTTATAGTGTTTACATAAAAACAAATCATGCAGGAAACATGTATAGGAACGACTGCATTATGCTAAGTGTGCTGCATGTCAACGCATGTGACCTTGAAGATGTCCTTACATTGTTTGTTTTAAGGTTCAGTTTTGCTTGGCTATTTGGTGTCTTTCGGGATTTTTGGATTTGGAAGTTTTGTTAAACAATGAGTGTTTTTGTTAATTTAAGTTAATGCTCTTTTGTTGTGTGTTAAACTGGTGAACTTTATAAGACTTCCGAGTCAACATAGATGTATTTGTCTTATATTTTCTTATTAAGCGTTTCGGATCGTTTTATGATTCTTTACTTTTAGTGAAAATTTTGATATCCAGAAATAAAAGTCCTTTATTACTTTCTTATTATAACTAAACCTAGAAAAAACACGAAAACAATGACGCGGCCGCAGGCGGGAACAGTTATAGAAAGTTCATAACTTAAGCTTTATGCTAGCTAACAATACATCGTTTAAAAACGACATAGGTCCTATCTAGAGTCTAGACACTAAATCATAAAACCACAATTCCTCAATCAAAACGCTAGCAGCGTTCCTTTCCCCTTGCTACCAACACCAAGTACCTACCGATTTCCAGTAAATTGACGGCAGATCAAAAGCGTGAACAATCACTACGGTGGCATCCGTCTTTTCTC